AAAATAAGTAGTAAAGTAAAGTAAAAATATCAGAAAAATCTACTTGAGTACAGTAACGAAGTATTTTTACTTCGTTACTTCCCATCTCTGCTAATCACTAATGGTGAACTTGTGTTCCTGACACTACCAGCAATGACTTTAGAAGGTATTGCTGTTCACCAGCCTTAGAAAGAATATAAAGGGGAAGTTGAAGGATGCAAATGATCAGCAAAAACATTGCATAACACCTGTCAATCATGGTGGGTTGATGATTTGGGAAGTAAACACCTTGAAGTCTCTGAGTGTCTACTAACTTGTTCTTACAACAAGACAAATGTCAAGCTGTTTGTGTAACAGCTGGAGCATGACTGAAATGGGGTCAGAGAACAGGAAACTGACCGTAAACACGAAGCAAATCTACCACAGAATGTCTGAAAAAAGGAGAGGATCAGTTTTGTGATAATAACTGAAATAGAAACTAACTTTGCTTTCCAGTTAACATGCAGCTAACTTATCTGGAACACGTAATGTGCAAAAAATGACTCATACAATTTTTTAGAGTCTGGTCCTTCCTGCTCAGCACTCCAGCAAGTTTGCCCCAAGGCGACTCTTAGTCATTATTGTTGTATGAAGATACTTTTCTTTGGAAGTATCCATGCGGCTTACTTTATACATAGATCGGAAAATAAAAGCAGTTTGGGAAGAGTGAAAATGAAAATGAATTTAAATTCTGTTGTATTTGTTATAGGGCTGCACAGTGCTGTAGTTTGGGGCCCTTTTGTTTTTGCAACAAAAAGGTCTAGGATTTAATTTCTGGACTAGGATCTTTAGCAGAGTTTGCATGTTTCTCTGTGAGTGCATGGGTCCAAAAACATGACTAGTTCAGCTGGTAGCACTAAATTGCCCTTAGGTGTGTGTGCCTAGTTGTTTGTCTCTGTGTTGCCTTTTGATGGACTGGAAACCTGTTCTGGAATTACACGGTCATGGTTTTTTTCCAAAACTGCTCTTGATAGACACCAGCTTCCCTTGAACCTGATGAATATGTGGTAAAGGATGGATGAATTTATCATGGAAATGTGTGAATGATCTCTGGTTATGGCAGATTCATACATTTTAACCCGTAGAAATCGAGTAAATCTATTCCCACTCTTAAGGAGATATTTACCTAAGAAGCCAAGGATTTTTTTTATAAAAAAAAGTTTTCATATGAAAATAAATTCATGCAAAGTGACTCATAGACATACATTAACTTCAGAGGTTGGCAGGAACTAGTTTGATTTACTCAATTACAGTTACTGAATAATTTCTGGACACAAATATACTTTTTAGAGTAGTTTTACTGCCCCGGACTTTTTACTTTTTACCCTTACTTGAGTAATATCACTATTTTGCTTAAGTAAATTGTTTGCCTACTTCATTGAATAACAAACAAGCTTTTGCGTTGTTTTTAAGTGCTCCAGAAAAAGCCACACTGTTAATGTTTATGTCAACGTTTTCTTTTATTTGCTCCTACCATGACATTTCAAGGTCATTTTAGTTTACAGGAAGAAGTAAGTATTGTCATTAAAGGTACTTGTTTAAAAAAGTTTTATGTTATAAATAGTTTCTTACATCTGGAATGGGTATTTTTATGACTTGATTTACTTATTTTTGTTGTTTTATTATAATTTATATAAAAAAAATAGAATTGGCTAATTAGATGTTATGAATACTCATTATTTGAGTCGCCTTTTTACCAAATATTTTGTAAAAAATATAATCAAGTAGTAGCGGTCATACTTCTACGGAAGAGGATTAGGGCCAGTGGAAAAAAAAAAGTTAATTGATGTTAAATTTTATTTCAGTTTAGTATGGGAAAAAAGTCAGAATTCTGAGAAAAAGTCAGAATTCTGAGAAAACATGTTAAACTGAAATAAAATATAAAAATCATTTAACTTTTTTTTTTTCAGTGGCCCTAATCCTCTCCGTATACTTCTTTAAATACTCTACCCAATGCAAATACATGAGGACCAAGCCAAGCTTCAACGTTTTTCTTAAAGAACTTTGTTTGTATTTTCAATCACTTAAATTTATGAAGAAGAAAAATGGTAAAAAAAATTATATACTTTTGTAAATGACCGTTAACTCAATGTAAACCCCTAGTTATTATTATTTTATGTTTATTTTATTTATTTGTTTATTTTATTTATTTATTTGTTTGTTTCCCTTGTTTTATTTTTATTTATTTTTTACCTTTTATGTCTCGTTTTTCTTAAAGTTATGTCACCAACTGTTGTATATCTGTGCTTGATTTTTGAGTTATTCTGTAATGTTACACGGAATTGCCAATAAAACATTAAAAAAATAACATAATAAAAAAAATAAAATAAAAATAAAAAAAAGAATGCAAGGAGTAATTTCCGGTTTTATTTTGAAATCCTCACCGGATGTAGATCTTTTTTTTTTTGACTACTTGTTTCGTCAAAACGCAGCCAGAGATAGTTTTAGAGACGTAGCGAGACCTCCAGGAGCTTTTCTTTTTTCCCCTCCAGGCTCTCCAAAGTTTAGAAACTAATTTATCTACCGGAGGAAAGCATCGTATTTCCTACATTTATTAATTTAAAGTCAGCTTTGTCTTCTTTTTCGTAAAACATCTTTCGGTTTTGGAACAAAACCATCGGTAGAGAGAGGATCCACGAGTCTAACTTTGGTGAGTTTACTTTTTTGAGGAGCAGTTTTTCCTCATTCTTTCAAGCTACGTGTTTCTAAACAAACAGCTGCTTAAGTTTAACCTTGACAAAACAAACTTTTAATAGCTAGCAGGAGTTATTCTAAACGGCAACTAGCCTTTTCAGCTAGCTGCTTGTTGTAAACTGTGAATATTGTTAGCATTAACATTTTAAAACTTCAGCTTTAGGATAAATTTAAACACCTGTCTAGACTTTTAGCTCTTTGCATTAACCTCCCACTTTTTTCTGTCACCTTTATTTAAAAAAAAAGTTTAATCTCTCAGTTTTTTAACCAGCTCACACTTCTTGTTGGTTTTCATTTCAACACTTTTGCTTTTGATCCAGAGTAACTGGAAATGCTGATCCGACCCTTTAATTACAGGCTGCTTAAAACACTCCTTTGGGTTGAGATGAATTTGCAGAGACTTTTAAATTCACCACGGGTCCTTTAAGTAGCCTGTGGCGATGGCTGAACTTGACTTCATCAATTGTGTCCCCTTCAGTGGTTCTGGTTGACACCACTGGTCTGTCTCATTCAAACTGACCAGCTGGCATTTCTTTGTTCAGCAGCACAAACTGATTAGCATGCAGCATCCCACTACCACTGCATCTGCCCCGGCAGACGCTGCTTTTGTTCCCCATTTATAACTTGGATCTCTGCCCTTTTTGTCCCAACTGTCCCTGTCATATCAAAAGCCCATAGACATGCCAACCCATCGGAGAAATGCTTTAATTTACTTCAATTCACTTTATTTCTATAGCTCCAATTCACAACACAAGTCATCTCAAGGCTCTACAGTTCACCAGATCATCCAGTCAAA